CATTTCCTAATGAGTTGGACAAACACTGTTATGTCAATTGTCTGTCAAAACTGCAGAAGACTGGTCAGGTATGATCCTAATGCAAGCCTAACTATGAAATGACTAATATCTCCTCCCTAAAATTATCTCTTGAACAGACAATAGAAGAATCATGAACTGGATGGTTGTTATCTATATACATAAAGAAAATGAAAGAAAATGCAATCCTAACAAGTATTTTAAAAAAAAACATTTAGTTTTGATTATGATAGAATGTATGGTAGGGGCCAATAGATGATCAATGAGGTCCTGCAACTCCATGCTTGTTGCCAGGTCATAATTGGTGGTTGCTTTTCCAAATTGCTGGTTATGTACAGAAGTAGTATGAGAGCAAAGATGGAAAACATAACCAATCATTTTGCCCATCACAGACTGTGTATCAGTGGTGGGTTTCAAATTTTTTTACCACTTATTCTGTGGGTGTGGCCTATTTTGTGGGTGTAGGTTGGTGGTCATGTGACTGGCTGAGAGTGGCTTGGCGGTCATGTGAGGATCAAGTCAGCGAGGGGTGACGCGAGAGCCAAGCCAGGAAAAGAAGTAAGTGGGCTGTCTGTAATATATATAGGGCTCTCAGAGGGGGGGGGGGCGATTGGCTAGCCAGTAAATCAGTGAGCGGCGGGCGGGTAGGCAGGTGGGGCGAGCATGATGCGGACGGGCGGGGTGAGAGGGTGAGCAAGCAGTGACCGGCGGGCGGGGCGAGAGAGCGAGCGGCGACTGGGTGGGTGGTGGGAGCGAGCGGGGGCAGGCCAGGGGAGGGACCATATTGGTACAGGAGCCTCTGATTCCACCAGTATGGAAACAGACGCCCAATTTCCATTACCAGTACGGGCATACTGGTGCAGACTGGTAGGAACTCACGACGGCTGTGTCCATAATCATATTCAGCACTGAGCCAAAACAGAGGCAATCTAGACAGGATAGTCACTGGCACTACAAGCAGTATTATATTTGCCAATCCAAGGATGGAAAGAGACTTTTTGCTAGACAAATTAGAGGTTGCTGTGTGGTTCTTTCCTAATCTCTTCTATCTCTGTCTCAAAAGAGATGCAAAGGAAATATTTCAACAACTTATTGCGATAAAATCCTTAAGGAATTGCCTCTGAAACTTGGTAGTATTAATTGTATCAATAAACTCAAAATATTCCATAATTGTTGCAAGTTTAATCTCTTCTATTAAAAATGGAAGCAATTTGAATCTGCACTGTATTAATATTCTTCCTTGATTGCCTCTAGACTTTTTTTAAAAAATAAAATGAACCTCAGATCAAATCAAATTGACTTAATCTTTGAACTGCAAAGTGGCATCATGTTTTCTTTGAATTTCATATCTTTGATCAAACTAAAATTAGGGCTGATTTGCACAGACCTACTAATAATCCTTATTTGATCCAATGGGCTCAAGCTTCTTTCATTCCTTCAATTAATTTATTTATAAATTAATCCATTAAGTGCAATATAGCATTAAGAAAAATGTATCACAAGCAGAAATACTAATGTTTTGAATCAACCTGTCAGCAACATCATTACAGCAGTGGAATCATATCCAACCATGCTAATAATATAAAGATATTTATTTTTTTACATTTGCTTATCAAATGTATGTAAACTGCCTTCTATTGCTGTCACACCATACTTAAAAAGACAGCACAGAACAATAAAAAGAAAAAAAAAGGATCCTAACCAATATATAAAGTCCTGTAAGACGCTTGCCAAGGCCTGTGGTAAAACCATATTTTAAAATACCTTTTGCATGAAACCAGGAAGGAGCCAAGGATCTCTGAGGGGATATTATTCCAGAGGATAGCTACTATGATACAAAAGGCTCACTTTCTAGATCCCATTATATGACATTGTTTTAAAAGCATTCCAACTCTGCTCAATTGCATGGAATGTACAGACATTGTGGAGACAGACAATCTCTCAGGGCTATGTTATGTCAAATATCATTTTATCTTTATTTATTTTCAGACCTGCCACTTTTCCATATTCCTCTATCTTTTCTATCAATTTAAGTGCTGTTTCTAATAGGTCCTCTAGAATGAAAACCAGATAATCTGTGAATGCTTGCAGTTTATATTCTTCCTTTTTAATTTTCATTCCTTTTATATCTTTTTCTTCTCTAATATTTCTATTTAACACTTCTAACGTTAACACAAGCAACAGAGGTGACAGTGTACTTCCCCTTACTCTTCAAGTAAGAGCCGCAAGTCTAGGGGAACAACACAGTAGAGATGATTGGTCGAGTAACAACAGATCCCACCTCTGCCCTTTTCCACTACCTATGTATCCTTAGGTTTTAATGTTTGATTTTAATTATTTATGTTTTAATTGTATATATTTATACAAACTTTATGACTGTGAGCCATCCAGAATTACCCAATAAATTTTATAAATAAATTAATAAAACCTCCCAAATACACATCAATCTCAAATGGAGAAGTGCATTCAACCCTAAAATTGAAAATCTCTGGAATTGGGTGGCTCAAATATTGATAGCCAATCCATCTTACAAGTGTTGAATGTGAGGTTTTTTTCTCCTTATCAAACCCTCACAGTCTCCAGACCCTGGGACAAGATCTTGATAGCATCACTTGGTCAGCCTAATTCAAATACACAGGTGGGAATCATCAGCATGCTTTGAGTTGATCGATGACTTTACCCAGAAATGTCAAACTTTGGAATACTTCATACAGGATAGCCTTGAACTGAGGCGAGGCTGACGTCATGATGGTACAACGTGCGATCTTGAAGCACCAAGATCACCGTCAATCTCTCTGTTGCTGGACGGTCCTTTTGGACCTAAATTGTCCTGTAGAGATGGTGATAGAGAAGGGCACATTCTGCTGATCCCAGGGATATCGCAAAGTCCCTGGTAGATTCAGAAGCCCTTTTTTCTGGCAACAGAGAAGCAGCCATTCAAGTTGCTGAAAGTTGGGACAGCTCCAGAAACGGAAGGCAAGCTGGAGAAAAAGTGTGTTGAATTGATGAGCAACTTTTGCATCTCATTTGGAAACCAAGGACAGAGATGGAGAAAGAATGAAGAGGCCAATCAAGCACAGTAATCCCACGGTCATTGAACCAAGTTTTGCTGCTTTTTGCAAAAGTTGCTCTCATCAGAAAAGAGGAGTTTGGACCACTGAACAACAGGACTTTGGACCACTGTGCTTCATTAAGACCAGGGTCAAAGCAGCCGTCTACCAGGAGATTTTGGAGCACTTCATGCTTCCTTCTGCAGACGAGCTTTATGGGGATGCTGACTTCATTTTCCAGCTGCCCACACTGCCAAAAGCACCAAAACCTGGTTCAATGACCATGGGATTACTGTGCTTGATTGGCCAGCAAAATCGCCTGACCTGAACCCCATTGAGAATCTATGGGGCATTGCCAAGAGAAAGATGAGAGACATGAGACCAAACAATGCAGAAGAGCTGAAGGCCGCTATTGAAGTATCCTGGTCTTCCATAACACCTCAGCAGTGCCACAGGCTGATAGCTTCCATGCCACACCGCATTGAGGCAGTAATTGCTGCAAAAGGGGCCCAAACCAAGTACTGAGTACATATGCATGCTTATATTTTTCAGAGGTCCGATATTGTTCTATGTACAATCCTTGTTTTATTGATTGCATGTAATATTCTGAGATGGTGGATTTGGGGTTTTCATGAGCTGTACGCCATAATCATCATAATTATAACAAATCACGGTGTGAACTATCTTGCTTTGCATGTAATGAGTCTTATGTCATATATTAGTTTCACCTTTTAAGCTGCATTACTGAAATAAATGAACTTTTGCACAATATTCTAATTTTTTGAGTTTCACTTGTATTCATACAATAAGCTTGATTATTTTAAAACTTGGACTTTATGGATGGAATGGTGTTTTTAGGAGTCTAACTCAGTTTAGTGTTTATGTTATGGTTTAGAGTTTTATGTGAAGTTAGAAAATTGGTTCAGTAAATTTCAACAATTACAAAATTTCAGATATGAAAAAACTTTGGTTAAAAACCTGAAGGGGAAAATTAGCCTTTGATAGAAATGTATTCCTATCCAATTCTTACTAGTGTACTTTTTATTTATTTTTAAAATCAAGATAGGATTAAAGTTTTAGCCTGAAATGCAACAATGGCTGCCTCCATAGTATCATAAAGTTTATCATTTCAACAGCAAACCATGATGCAATTTACAAATCAGAAGTTCAGATGGACCCAGATTGGAAAAGTCTGCTCTACTTAATAAGTAGAACAGCTTTTCTTGGGACTTAATCTTGAAAAATTATGAATTATATCATGTGGCATAAATAATCAAAAGGTTACTTTTTATTCCATCTGCTAAGGAACATGCTTTAAAAATCTGCATATACAAGTTGTATTTACTACCATTGATAATTCCTCTCCCATGAGGGGGCAGAAGGTGGGATACACTGGTGAGGCAGGGTCTCTTCCAGGGCCTCTTCTGCCAAATGCCATTCAAGGGCAGTCTAAGTCGCATTAAGCGGAGTTGCCTTTTCAGCATGGTTTATAGCCTTCGGCTTAAGACAAATTATAAAATAAACCAGACTGGCGTTCACCGCGGTGGCTGGTTCACACGCCTTCAACTCCGGAACTCTGATGCAAAAGTTATTCCGGCTGAACGGTCCTTGGGCTGGTCTTCCAAAAAGCGTACGCGTCGGAGCAGAGGCGCTGGCAGTAGAAGCGAGGTGCAAATGTTTCTAGTCTCCTCCCAAATTTCGTAGCACCGCTCGCGGTCGGCCTTTCTGGCGGGCCTCAACTACAGATTCACAACTAGGGCTGGAGCAAGAGGGCGGCCTCGAGGGAGAATCGCGGGCGGGGCGGATTTCTCCACGCCACTGGACACAAAGCGCCGGCGCCGCCTCCGCTTTGTGGGCGCAAAAAGCCCTTGACTGGGTGGCGCCCGCGGGAATCGCCCAGTCCTTCCTCTCCCTTTTTCTTAGCGAATGACTCGGATATTTCCGAACCTGCCGGCAGTAGCTACAATCTACAGCGAGGGCCGGGGCTGCCTCAAAGCCTTCCCGCGAACTCCATGGAGAAGGCAATTACAGCGGTGGAAAGCGCCGGGGACAACGTGTCAGCGGCTGCGGCCAACAGCAGCGGCGGAGGCAGTAACAGTAGCAGCCGGAGTAGCAGTCGCCCCACGTCGGCGGGTTCCTCGCCTTCCACTTCTACCAGTCGGGGTCTCTCGGGCCGGCAAGCAGGAGCGGTGGCTGCTGCGCTGGCCGCGAGGCCGGATGGAGGAAGCAGCAGCAGCCCCAGTTCAGCTGCGGCCAGTCCTGGAGGAGTCTGCGGCGCCGGCGCCTCGGGGGGACTGGCGGCTGGTAGGAGAACGGAGGCAGTTCTGGAGGGGATCTTGAGCAAATACACCAACCTCATCCAAGGTTGGCAAAGCAGGTACTAAGGAGAGAAGGTAGTTTACACGGTGGTGAAAAGAACCCTCGGTCTTCACTGTTAAGGGAAAGAATATAGATTAACTCCCCATTCCCCGTTCTGCCTCTGCTTTCTCGAACCCAGCGGACTTGCTAAAATGTGGCGCCGACGATCATTTATATCTCTTTCTTCCACTCTTTCAAATACCTTTTTATAGATTGATGCTCATCCTAAAGGCTATGGGATCCATCATATAATCTCTCTCACGTTTCCTTTTCTGCTTCACATTTGCCTTCGTATGACTCTTTCAAAGTATCTTTTCTCTCTCTCTGAAGTTTCTTCTTCAGCTGATGCTGTGGAAACTAGCAGCACCTCAGATTTCTGATTGCTTTTAAGGTGTCAAAGTTGGTACCTCCAAAGAAGTTTTACTAAAAACTCTTTCTCCTGCCTATTGTATATTTTTTCACTGCTTCATGGTGTGTTTCTGAAGCCTGCTGTTTGATGTCTTCTGGTTGTTAAGTTGGCTGCGTCCATTTAACTGCTGGAGACCTGCTTTCTGATATTGCCTGGTACAGGCTTAACTTTAATTTTTAATGTGGTATTAAAGCTTTTAAAAATCCAAAAAGCTAGTGGCTGCCATTTGTGAATTTTCCTGCAATGGACACTGTATGCCAAAAATGAATAAATTGGTAGGGTAAATAGCTGACTGCTTAGGAGTATATACTGAAGGCTTAAAGGATAGAGCATAGTTTTTCCTATTTTAAAAAAATAGACAAAAATGAGGAATCTGCAGTTGGGCAACAGCACCATGAAGATAAATCAAAATAGTGAAATACTTTAGTAATGTGTTTGGAAGGAAATTTGGAGGAAAAAAAGTTTGAAGTACCAACCATTACCATTTAAATGATTATTCAGTCATTGAATAATCAATAATTCAATCATTTGGTGATTTTGGTATTTTGGTTAATTAAAAACTGCTCATCAGTGAGGAGATACCGTGACCCGACAAAAGGGCGAACGACAAAACCGCGCCTGACTAAACCGCATCGCTAAAACCGTGATGTCATCAACGCACCGACAACAGCGTGGCGACAACAGCGCGGAGACAGAAGGGTGATTTCAGTCGACAGAGGGGCGATTTAAGTTAAGGTAAGGGTTAGGTTTAGGATTAGGTTTAGGGTTAGGTTTAGGGTTAGGTTTAGGTTTAGGATTAGGGTTAGGTTTAGGGTTAGGTTTAGCGTTAGGTTTAGTGTTACGCTTAGGGTTAGGGTTAGCGTTACATTTAGGGTTAGGGTTAGGGTTAGGTTTAGGGTTAGGTTTAGTTTTACACCGCGCTTCTGTCATCGTGCTGTTGTCGCGATTCAGTGCTCATTTGTTGGAGCGCTTTAGAACATGCGGTTTTGTCACCGCGGTTTAGTTGGCCGCAGTTTTGTCGTTTGGCCTTTTGTCGGTGAACCAGGAGATACATCTACATAGTTGCTCAATAAGTTAACTGGGGCAAAGATAGTATGGATATTTTACTTGGCTAATACATACAAACTAGGCAAAGTGAATTCTGACTTTAAAAAAAAAAGATCCTGGAATATAAAACTGACAAGTTGACAGATTGCAAAAATGGGAGAGCGTTTGTATAACCATTGGTAAAAAAAATATTGTTTTATTCCCATTTTAGCCATATCTGCTTGAATAATGCTTTGACAGAAAACGTATTCTAGTGTTTTCAATAAATATTGTTTCATCTAGACCAAGGGTGTTAAACTCAATTTCATTGAGGGCCGCATCAGGATTGTGTTTGACCTGAGGGGGAGAGATGGGTGTGAGCAACATTGGCCTCTTCAGCTGGACATCACTTGTGTTGGGGGCGTCTGTGGTGGCCCTAGCACTCTGCCAGCAAAAACAGGCTCCCAAACTCCATTCTTGGCTGTGATGGCTTCCTGCAATCCACTTCCAGAAAAAACAGAGCTCAGGAGGTCTGCCCCCAGGCCTTGTGAGCTCCATTTTCTGCTGTGATGGCCTCCTGAAATCCTCTGCCAGCAAAAACAGAGCTCAGGAAGTCTGCCTGAAGCCCTTGTGAGCTCCGTTTTGAGCTGTAATGACCTCTTGCAATCCTCTGCCAGTGAAAATGGAGCTCAGGAGGGCTGTGCATGGCCCTCATGAGCTCCATTTTCAATAGCAGAAGCACTGCTGGCCAATCCTTTGTTGTTTCCAGGGTGGTCCCATGGGCCAGATCTAAGCACTCCGGGCTTTGAGTTTGACACCCTTGATCTAGACTTTAAGTCAGTACTGAAAATCACAGAAGTACTAATCGTTTACTATTCTAATTTAATAATCTACATTTAATTTTATAATTTTTGAATAATAATTGCTTTAACATGATGAAATATTGCCATTTTGGCAGATCATAAGATTTGAAAGATTTGGTGATGTTGGATTAACAATATGTGTATTTTTATTCCAAATAATACCTTTATGATTGATGTTACAAACACCACCAATTTCTTGGAAGGTGAAATAGAAGGAACTGAAGTAAAAATCCTGTGTTTTGTGTATTGAGAAACAAAACTTAATTGATATCTAAAGTCTTGCTTTTTGAAAATATTTACTAAATAAAGTAAAACTTTGTATAAATACAAAGTTGAATAGTATTGATTTCTTTCAAGTGGAATAGCATCAGCAAAATCATTCTGATTGTGGAAGAATTATGCCTGGGTGCAATAATTATCTATTACATTTTCATATTACAAATTGCTGGTAGATAATTTTTTTAACTTGTTATAGCTGAAGTTTTGTTTTTCTGATAATACAATGGAGAAAAGATATATATTTTATTAACTGATCAAATAGTAAATTGACGGAGACATATAGTACATCAGTATACCCTTTAATGAACTTGGTGCATAAATAAATTGGGTGGAGATAGATTTTAAGAAGAGGATCGAAGACCAGACCCCATTGTCTTCCTGACCTAATAAAATTTGTTATCAGTTCTGTTGCATCATGTCACAGCTAGTGGGAGGATCAAGGCCCTTTTTTCATAAAACTTAATTAGAAACAGGAACGTCAGATTCTCTTCCTTACATCATTGGTATTAGTTTCTTAGTAAGGATTTTGAGATTTTATAATTGGTTTCATCTTAATGCTGTTAAATAAAAGTGTCACAGAATCTCCACTCTGATTTTAAATGGATTTGGCCTAAAATATCTAGGAAGAATTATTCCAAAGCAAGACCCATGTTCTCCATTTCCCTGCTTCCCAATTGTTCTGCCGGAAGGAAACGGAAAAGGAAATGGGTTCCTTTTTACTGTTTACTAAGCAATTGGCAAACACTGTTAAAAGTTCAGGAAACTGTCAGATACAGAATGATGAGTTAGATTATTCCTTGTATAAAAGTCTGTAGTGATATGTATGTCTAAATAGTGGATTGTTTTTCTTTCTGCTTACAAACAAAATGTACATGCCTGTTAGGGAGCAGCATGTAGGAAAGAAACAGCAGGTATTTTAAAAATTTCTTTAAATAGGAGGAAATAAACTACAAGTGGTCCTCGACCTAAAGTTTGTTTACTGACTGAAGTTACAAGGGCACTGAAAAAAGTGACTTATGAACATTTTCCATACTACTACTGATTTCATGGTCACGAAATCAGAATTCTCATATTTGCAACCGGCTCATATTTATGACAGTTGCAGGTGACTCAGTTGCATATAATCCCCTTTTGCGACCTTCTGGCAAGCAAAGTCAATGGGGAAGCAAGTTTCAGTTAAGAACCGTGTTACTAGCTTAACAGCTGCAGTGATTCAACTGTGGTAAGAAAGGTCATAAAATAGGGCAAAACTCACTAAACAAATGTTTCAAATAGCAAGGGAAATTTGAGGTTCAGTTGTGGTCGTAAGTTGAGGACTATCTATAGAGGGAATCCTGGACTTAAAAGCAAAATTGGAACCAGAATTTCCATTGTTAAATAACACCGTTAAGTGAGCCATGGTTGATTTTATTACCGTTTTTTGCCAAGGTTTTAAATAAATCTCTGCAGTTATTAAGTAAATCACTATAGTTAAGTGAATCCAGCTTCTCTTATTGACTGTACTTGCTAGAAGCTAATTGGGAAAGCCACAAATGATACAATACAATATAATAGCAGAGTTGGAAGGGATCTTGGAGGTCTTCTAGTCCAACCCCCTGCCTAGGCAGGAAATCGTTTCAGACAAATGGCTATCCAACATCATCTTAAAGACTTCCAGTGTTGGGGCATTCACAACTTCTGGATGTGATTACGTGATCCCAGACAACTATCATAAATACATGCCAGTTGCTCAAGCACCTAAATTTTAATATGACCTTGGGGATGCTACCAAGTCTAAGGCCAAGGATAATTTGATCATCACTTTTTTCAGTGCCGGTGTAACTTTGAGCAGTTGCTAAATGAATGATTATAAGTTGAGGACTTCCTACAGAGCAGTGTGGGGAAGAGAGGCAGTGGTGATACCCCTGATTTTACAAATGACTTGTCTACAGCATTCTCATTTTATTCTGATAGCACTACTATATTCCCTAACTTTAAATAAACTAGTTTCTTTCAACATGGTTTCTGTTAATTCTTATGTAGTTTTAAAATACCTCAAGTATTTTTTGTTCTGTAGCACAGGGTTGCGTTATGGCTGCTGCTACTTCTGGTTCGCTCAGGGGCATGCCACATGGCTTGATGCGCGCTGTGCGTGCATGCGCAGTGCAATAAAAATTGCTCTGTGCATGTGCAGAAGGCAAAATCAAGATGGTGCTGCCTATGGCACCACTGAGATAACTGGTTTGGGAACGTGGCAGGCCTTGGTTGCTGCCAGTTCCAGCGACCCAGTCCGCCAAGTTACTACCGGTTTGCTGAACCGGTAAGAACCCACCTCTGCTGTGGCATTATTTCTGTTTCTGATTTATAAGGTACACAAAGATTGAGGCTTCAGCTTCACCAGATAACCATAGTGAATGGTTATTTCACTATTTACTAATAACTTCAAAGGAATTCAGCTCTATT